CCCAAATATGCTCAGAAACATGAATACTCTGAAACCGAAGAAGTGATGGATCTTCTGGCCCGGAATTAATAACCCTACTTTGTTGTGAAGATGATGTCATCTATACAACAATAAAAAATATTAGTAAAAAAATTTCATTTAATAATAATAATTATTATTATAATAATAATTTATATTTTACTAACATATTAATAATACAAATTTTATAAAGGTTAAACAAATTTTCTAACAAATCATTATCACATTGTAATGACATCATATTATATTCATTGCAATATATTATAAATGCAAAAATTAGGTATATAAACAAAATTAAATAAATAAATTCTTTTTAAATATACTAACCTATATTCTATACATATTATAATTTATGCAGTATCAGTTTTATTTTAAATAAATAAATTCTTTTTACATTTTCATACATATAACTAAAGATATATAAATTTTTAATTATTCTAAATGTTCATATTAAATTGTATTTAATACAATTTAATATAATTTATATAAATAATGTTACGTTATTTAAATACAAAACTCTAATTACTAGCATAAAATTAAATTACATTTTAATTTTTTCATATTTCCAATTTAAATCTACATAAATTACATTTAGTTTATAATTATATAAATAATATTACGTTATTTAAAGTAAAAAATATTATTATTTACATACAAATTTTATATAAATACAAAACTTTAATTACTAGCATAAAATTAAATTACATTTTAATTTTTTCATATTTTCAATTTAAATCTACATAAATTACATTTAGTTTATAATTATATAAATACTATTACGTTTTTTAAAGTAAAAAATATTATTATTTACATACAAATTTTATTTAAATACAAAACTATACTTACTGTATAAAATTAAATTACATTTTTTTTTATATTTCTAATTTAAATCTACATAAATTTTATATAAATACAAAACTCTAATTACTAGTATAAAATTAAATTACATTTTTATTTTTTCATTTTTTTAATTTAAATCTACATAAATTACTTTTAGTTTATAATTATATAAATAATATTACGTTTTTAAAAGTAAAATTTTTTATTATTTACATACAAATTTTATATATACATTTCATATAAATTATGATTACTGCATTTAAAATTTTACTTCTTTTACAATATAAGTGTAAAAATTATTTATTACAATCAAACTAAGTATAAATTATTATATTTAGTTTTATATAATTATTTTATTTAACTCAATTTTTATTATTCTGTATTTTAATAAATATCTATAATAATTTCTGTAAACAAATTTTATAAATCTTAATTTAACCTTTCTTCTTAACAATTAATTATAATTTTACATTTTAATTAACTATATCACATTTCATTTTTTCTAAAAACATATTAATCTATATACAAATAAATAAAAAACTATTTAAATTTTAAATTCCTTTTTACTAACCTTTAATAAACTTTCAGCAAATTCTTCACTCACCCCCACTTAATTACCAAATCACCTGCATACATACAGTTTAAAAAAATTACAATATTATTATCAGATTTTCCAATTAACAAAATCAAACTAAAAATAATATATAAATGCATATTATAGCTCCATACCTCTTAAATTAGTAACAATATTTGACCCTTTACACTGCAAATCAAAACAAATTTTGAAACTTCAGCCTAGACGATGATGGAGGAGCAGAGATGGAGAAAAGCAAAATAGAAACGAAGGAGGACCGTCATGGAGGAGGAAGAAGGATGTCGGTCAAAGTTACTTAACAATTGGCCACGTGTCAATGCCTGAACGGTTTCGCCAACTGCAGGGCGAAATAAACTTTCGCCAGTAGCAGCGCGAATCATCTCAGATGTTGCCACGTGTATCAAAATCTCCCCAGCCGTCTATTTTAAATTCATTTTTATTATTTATTTTTAATTTTATTTACTTTCGCTATTCAAATGGCGAAATAATAGTTGTTGGAGACACGTGTCAACATGCAATTAATTGCGCTTTGGCTGTGGCGAAACTTAGAAATTATTTCGCCAATCAGGTTGTGAAACTAATATGTGTTTGACACGTGCTATTATCTTATTTATTTCGTATTTTTTGTGGCGAAATAAAAATTAAAAAATTTAAAAATTAATTACTTTCGCCAATTATTATAGCAAAAAATTGATCCACATGACAAAAAGACCTCATATTAAAAAATTGTTTCAGATTTGCTATAAAATGATAAATTATTTTTTAATTTATAATATTATAATAAATTTGCCATGGTTGGGTAGCTTATTAACTGTATTATCCCTCTTCTGTATCTTTCTCGCTCTAGTAGTAGAAGCATATCGTGTGATGATCCCAATCCATGAAAATATATTTAACATGGAACAAGAATCACATCATATCTGATTGGACAGGGTTCCTTTCTATAGGTGGGCCCAAGACCAATGACATAAAAGTCTTGGGGAGGATAGTTAATGGTTCAGAATTTCAGATAAAATACCCATACTCTGCTTCGGAAAATTTTGATAGGACTGAAATATCTTGAATATTTTCAACTGAACTGAGTTTTCTCTTCTTTTTTTTCATACTGTTTTTGTTATGACAACGCAATACATTACAGTGAAGATGCTCTTTTAACGTCAGAAAGATTGAGCGGCTAAATATTCTGTGGTCAGGAGTTCTTACAACTGTAGTATATTGAAGGTTAAAGGAGGCTCGGTGGCGAAATGTCCATGTCTAACGGTCTGTAATCAATTAACATAAGTTATAATTTAGAAAGATTTGGCCTGTAACAGTGGATATGAAGTAGCAAGGGATTGACTAATAAAGGAAATGATGGTTGTCTAATATAAATTTTCTGTTATGTACTGGCGTCTGAAAAAGCTTTCATCATTGACATTAATGTGGAAGATGTCCGGTCTGAACATGTTTGAATTTTTGTGTCTGTTCATAGACAGATGAATTGACTCTCAGCATCGCCATTTGCTTGATCTCATGACGATGGAAGATTCATTGCATTTAAGAGTTCTGCTCTCGGCGATGTGGTTTATAATTCCTCATCTCCAAGGTCTTCCCGCCCTGGCGATGCCCTATAAATCCACGCCCATCATTTATTTCCATATATCATGCACTAAGTTAAAACTTCAAAAGAAAGCAAAGGAACGATTTATTTTCATCACATAATTCGTATCGTAATGTCTTCAGGTTTAACTTGGATATTATTGTAGCCTCGATCATGCTTATCTCGTTACTTGAATATTTCAAAGACAAGCAATTTATTTGGTCTGCTGCTGTCTTTGTGACTTACATACCCCCAGCAAAAGCCACTCAAAACTTGCTTCCAACATTTTTTCTATTACCAAAAAGCTAATCCCTATGGCAACGAAAACACGATACTTCGGTCAAGTTGAGGTGTTCAATGTAAATCCTAACTAGAACATGTTAAATGCAAACCTCAGCAAAAGGGGAAGGAAAGGCAAAGGAAGGGTGTAGTTGTGATCCAAAAATCCAAATTTATACGGACTGTTTTTACAACAATCATGGGTACATTTGATGCAAGAGTTGAGTAAAATTATTGTTCAATTGTTAAATTTTTAAAAAATATATGTACTTAAACAAGTATTTAGAGTACCTAAAATCAGTGTTTTTGTATTTAAAAATGTAAAATTTTGCCCAAATTATTCATACATAATGATATACAGGATTTATTTCTTTTTTCCTCCTCGTGCACTCGAAAAATAAAATATATGACAAACACTGTTCTCATTTTTACAACTAAGATTCTCTACACTTAGAATCGTGATTCGCGAAAGGAAATTGGAATAGGGCAAATCTTATGACAAAAAGGTGGGGAAAAAAATCGGGGCTAAGTAAAGCAAGCAAGTACAGGGTAGCCGCTTAGCAGAATCCCAGTACAGATGGCGAACACGTGACTGAACGGAAGAGTGAACAGTTTATTCTGGAACACCAACGAACTATATTAATTATACATATCTTATCTACCAAGATTGCTTAACGTTATAAGGGAAATTTGAAAAGCCGGTCCAAACTATTCCGTAACAGAAGCCCGTATAGCGTGGTGTGAGAGTGATATTGCCACGCCATTTGATTCCGCTAAACAATTTTAAATGCCGCCCAGCGTATTAAGGAGTTGGGTCCTCTCAGGCGAATTCATGTCTCGTAGATGATTTCTTGGCTCCTTTTCGAAATTTTTTCAAGTACAGTAACAACTAAGAAAGTCCACATAAATCCCTCAATCTTAGCAGTGGGGTATAGATTGGAACACTGAGTGTGCACCGAACATCAGGATGGTAGAAGGAATTAATAAAAAAAGAGACTAACATAGAAGCAACCAAAAAGAAAATGGAACATCTCTTGGGGATTACATGGGTTCCACTCCAACTTTATAATATACAAACTTATAAGCAAGTCAATGTTAATTAATCTCAATCTACTTTATGTCCACATCTTGTCGTATATAGATTTGCAAACATCTTTTTCCTAAACCCAAACATATCTATATATCATAGCATAATTATAACGCTTCACCTAATACCATCTGGACCCCAAAATAATGGGCAAACTTTAGATCATCTCATCTTATTGCCACAATCCCGACAGCTATCTCATGCAATTTGTATAATAGGCAACAAAAATATTAGGACGCAAAAGATGCAAACAAAAACAGAGGCATCTTTCAATTGTGGTCTGGGTGGGTGCAGCTGAAATGTGTTTTGCACTGTTAAGATGGGGCCTGAGCCAACTATCAGGGCTCCCCACACCACGTGGTTTCTGTAACCATATAAATTGATAACATTGCACCATCTCAATAACGACACACACTGCTTAGGCCTAGTTTAAGGATAAAATAAAGTTTAAGAAAGGTAAGTGTGAATAACATATTACTAATAAATAACCTCATCCATTTACTGCACAGCAACTGTGTAAATAGTAAACTGCTGCGAGTTCACTTAGTATATTGTACATCATAAGTTCTATCAGAGCATCGTCTACAAGAACGGGGACGATGGGGAAGGCACAAGAACAGCCCTCACATCTTACTCTGAACAATGGACACATGGGGCGGATGGATCTCAAAGCTAAAACTAATCAAAATGAAGAAATAATAATAATAAAAGTGGCAGTAGTGATAATAATGATCTGTACAATTTAAGGAAAATTCCAAAGAGGAAATTTACCTGGAGGAAACAGGGTTTAGGGCTCTAGCAAAGCCATTCATAGCCCCATAACCCTTAGAACTAAACCCTAAGCACCCAAGCAAACCCTGCCTGTAAGGCAAGAAGGTCTTTTTCCTCAACTCCTCAGCTTGGGCCCTGTTGGCTTTATAGTGCAACTCGTGCGGCGAGGGTGGCACGCGCCTCTTCCCAACACCGTTGGTGGGCTTGCTGGTCATTTTCCTGGCCCAAGCCTGAGAACTTCCCTTGGGCTTCTGCGTTTCGGAAGAAGGCCCGTTTTTGTGAAGATTTTGATTGTTAGCTGTAGCAGTGGCTTTCTTGTCCTTGGTAGGGGAAAACGAAATGGTGGACCAGAACTTGTTGTTACTTCTACCTTCGCTTTTGCTTCGGAGAAAATCCTTTAAGAAAACCCACCGCTTCGAGCTTCTTCCAGCAGAAGAAGAACGAGAAGACGAAGCGGAACCCGAAACTGAAGGAACCGTCTCCAAACCCAAACCCAGACCATCCACCTTCTCTCGTCGGTTCTCCACTTCCGAGGAACCACTACCATTATTATTGTTCATTTGATTCCCCAAACTCACGTTACGATCCTCGTGAACATGATCCTCGTTCTCCGCCCACTCCAAAGGCGTGTTGCTCCTAAGAGGAGACATGGATCTGGTTCTTCTGCGAACGGACTTGTCCCTCAGCCTCAGATCTCTGCCTCGAACCACATTAACAACCTCTGCTTCTTCGTCTTCTTCTTCTTCTTCCAGATCCAGCAATGGAGCCAGAACCTGTGGCCGTTCAAGGTGGCTCGAGAGCTTCATGGGCCGGATCTGACCATTTAAGAACAACTCGTCCGCCGAGCTCATTGAACCCGAACCGCCCGAACCGGAGGAACCGAACCGAGCGGAGAATTCGAACTCGTAACCGATTGGGGCCGAAGAGTGGGAGGTTTCGTAGGATGCGGAAGCGGTTATGGCGAAGTGCATTGGGCTGGCCGGAGCACTGTAGAAAAAACCGGGTAGGGGTCCACGGCCGGGACTGGAAGGGGCACTGACGTATGGGGTGGAGCATGTGCTGTCCAAGTCTTCGAAGAGGGTTTCGCCATTGTTGGAGTTTGAGGGTTCTGTGCTTACGTTTACGCCATTATTGGTGGCTGTTTGGAGGTCCATTTTTTTTCGTGGCGTGGCTGAGGGTGACACTGTGAAGCGTGAAGAAATAACGAGTGTTTGTGTGCGTTTGAGAGAGAGAGAGAGAGAGAGAGTGAGCCTGTAACACCTGACTGATGCTATGCTCACAAAAGTAACAATAAATAAATGTTTTACTTATATGTTAAGAGATGCAAACAAAAACAACATTAATTACTATTTTTAATTAATAAATAAATATTTAAAAATTTACATAAACGTTGACGTATTAATTATATCTTTAATTTACAGAAAAAAATTATATCACTGAGTAAAGGAAATGGAAGTGATATAACAGAAGAAAAATCAAAATATAGTTTTTTCTTAAATTATTGCGAAAATTGGACGACCTACATATCTAAACGACAGTAACGGTCCGTAATCATATCATACTTAGTAAAAAAATCCATAATGAAAGTTATACTTTTGAGGTCTTTTTCTTGGTGGGAAGTAATTGTACTTAGTCTTGCTTTTAATTTTTAATGTTAATTAATCTATATGTAAAACTTTCTGCTTCTAAGTTGTAAATTTTAATGCTCGCGTTCAGTTGGGTCACGTCCAGAGAAGTAAGATAAGCTGATTGCAGAGGGAAAATAAGAGTTGACTCACAAATATCAATGTGTACAATATACATTATTTAAAAAATAGTAAATAATATTGAAAATATTATTACTTTAATGTATAAAGTGTATTTTACACTTTTTTATGTTAGAATTTTTTTTAATTTATCTATTATTTTAAGATAAAATTTACTTTTAATTATATTTTAAAAAACAATACATAAAATGTTATTTTAAATAAGAAATAACTAAATTAAAAATAATAATAATTACTTTCTTAATTTGTGTAATACTCGTAACAATGACAAATTAAAGAAACTGAAATGATGTAACAAAATTGTGAGAACGAGATACTGTGATAAAATTGTGAGATAAACACACATTAGAAAGCGTTGATCTACTGAGGCGCAGGTAGACATGAGTTGTAGCAAGGATGTTACTTTCCATAGGATCCTTTCCGCGGCTAAAACTGAGTATTCTATTAATAGTATCATCCTGCAACTAAAAAATAAATTAAATTAATAATTTAGAAAGAAGATGCATAGCATGCTAATCTGTAAACTGTAAACATCATAGAAACCAGAGACTCTTTTCAGTTTTCTCCAAACCCAAGAAAAAAAGAAAGAATATCAGGGATCAGTGGGTTGGGTGGGATGTAATGTGGAAAGAATTATAAAAGGAATATATTAAATCATCTTACATAACTATTATAAAACTTTCTATTTGTTAAATAAAAAAGTTTTAAATGTATTTTATATTCTTTAAAAATAAACATTTTATATTTAATTTTTAATAAATGATTTAAAAATTAATAAAAATATACGATAAACAAAATATAGCATTACTTTTATAAAATAATTTGCCTAAGAGAGAGGGCAACAGCACCATCATATACAAACAACATATAGCGAATCAAAGCCTAACATCTGGAATCAGCATGTGCATTTGCTAATAAAATAATAAAAATAACTTATTCAGCATTAAAATATTGAAAATTATAAATAGTATATTAAGAATGTTTATACATTAAAGTTCTTTGATAAGAATGTCATATGACATTTTTTTTGTATTATTTTTTTAATTCATTACTTTATTTATTTTATCTCCGCTTTTCCTTTTATATTCCAATCTTTTTCAAAAGTATATACATTTTATAGTTTCATTTTAAAAAAGTTATAAAAAATTACAATATTTATAATAAATAATAATTTCTTATGATATATATTTTATGATGGAAAAATGTACATATAATATCTATTGAATTTTTTACTCTACTATAATTATTTTTGTAAGTATCAATTAAAAATAATATATTTAATTTCTATTTTATATATTGCAATGCTAAAATGACAATTTTATAAGGTAAAAAATGTTATATACTTTAACTTTAAAAATTTATTTATTTTGATGATAGTAATTAGTAAATAGAAAAATTAACGAAATAAATATATTTAACTAAAATTTTAAAATAATGAACAGAATAAAATAAAATAGGAAAGTATCTGTCTTAATTTTTTTAGTATTTAAGATTGAAAATCAAAATAAATTACTAGATTTGACAAATTTCTAACTGATAATATGAACTTATAGCATGTACTATGAATCAATTCATTATGATGGTATGTGAAAATAAGTTTATTTTATCAATTTATTGTTACATATATTCAGTCATTACTATAATATAAAGGGGAAGAAATAATATCTGTACAAATAATTTTATATATTAAATTATAATATTTTAATCCTTAAATTTTATATGATACATAAATTTTATTTTCTAAGTATTTAATAAATTCATTCATTCAATATATGTGTGTCTATATATATATATAATGATTATTTTGATGTCATTTAAAAAATTTGGTTTATATCATAATTTATTTGTAGTCAATAATATTAAATAGTAGATTGTTTTAATATTATTAATAATACATTTTACAATTAATTAATAATATAAATAATATTATATATTTTCTAAACTCGTTCATCGAAATGATATTAAATTTTGCTTTTAGAAAAATGTTAGGATTTTATATAAAACATCTGTTATGATCTCTTTGCTAATTTAAAATGTTACCCACCTTGTTTTTTCATAATTTTATATGAATTTAATACTTAATATACTATGTAATACTAATAAATCCATATTCAGTTACCATTTTCCAACTGCAATTTAAATACAACGAAATGAATGAATACTTAACGAATTTCTTTATCAATTAAATAACCGGTCGGTAGAATTTTTTAAACATTACGATACATTTAGTTATGTTTACTTACGCTTACGGGCTGTTTCTATTCGTACATTTCTCCTCTTTAGTTTTAGCCATTTTCCCAACAGCTGAAAATTTTCCAGTTCATATGATATATTATAAAGTTTCTTTCTTCTCTTTCACGTAAAAGTTTTTAAAGGCCTTTTTGCCCTTTAACAATGGATATGGAGTTTTATTGATTAAATATTATATATTTATAACAGTATATATGATGGGACTTTGATATAAAAATAGTAGTGACATACATTTTATTTTCCCATTGTGGTTATAGGCTAACTATGGAGAGTCGAATATGGAATATGTATTTAACTGAGATGAATAAGTGGGGGCAAAGGGTGCGAAGCTGATTGCATGCAGATGTGAGAAAGGGGTAACAGAAAGCACATGTGATGTTGTAATAACTGGTTCGTGGCTACGGATCGTCATGACATGTGAGGCGCGTTGACAATGTACATCACATAATCAAATACACATCCATCCATAACAGTGAGGATTCCCACTCTCCTCTCAACAACTGCCTCGCGTTGAATTAGTCAAAAACACCATCTTTCTCTCACCTGAGAGCATTCATGTGCCAACCAATTACTCTATTTTCATTCAAAATATGTTTGATAGGGACTTACTTCCTCACCCATTTATACTTTAAAGCTTTATTTCATAAATAGGATAAATATAATCAAATATTTTCTTGTTTTATATTTCATAATTATTTTACTGACAAAATATAACAAGTTTATCATATAAATTTAGTATATTTCTATTTTATAAAAAAATTCTATTAGAAATAGGCATATAAATATATAATATAATGGAAAATATCTCTAGAGACATTCTAATAGTCAAGGCAGTGCTTATCCCAACAAAAATAGCAAATCTATAATAGATAGCATGCCTTATTTTTTTAATCTTATATTTGATATATTCTAAAATAATTAATTAGATGATATCATGTTATGCTATTTTTTTTAAAATCCAAACCTTTTCTACAGAAAAAAAAGTTATAATAAAAATGAATAAATTTATATACTATAACTATTACTTAGTGTGCAGTGTGTACGATAACGACGTTTAAATTTACTGAACCTGGAGTAACAGAGTACTCAATAAAATATATGGTGACTATGCACTAACTACAGGTAAGAGGAAGTCTAAAAAAGCAGAAACACTGTTACAAACAGTAACACCAACCCCATATTGCGATCGTAGTATGTAAAGCATACATCTAAGGTGCAGCTGCAAATAACTAGCCATTCAAATTTATTTTGAAATAAATTAATACACATTCAATCAAATTTAATGCATGTTATCGAAGTAAACAAAAAAGAAAATGTTAACGTGCAAACATTGTTACACTTGAGGACAACCATAATCTCGATGCATGCCAAGCAACAAATTATGGCTTCAACCTCCATGACACGGGCCATAAGTGTAACCCTACTGTTTAAAGGGGATAGAATTGGGAAAATTAGATCTCCTTTAAATTTAAAGCTCGTTATATTTGATATTCTTTAAAAAAAATTATTTATTATTTTTACAATTCAAAGCTCTTTGTTGGTATACTTTTATATTATATACACCAATGTTCTATTTTTCTTTTTCTAATCTTAAATAATGAAAAAATAAATAAATAACTTGTATGACAATAGAAGTCGCGAGCGTAATAAATTGATAATGTAGTAATATCACTTCGTAGTCTATGTACATGTCAACAATTTTTTTTTATTTTTTTTTTGAGAAACTTCTAACTATATTTTCAGGCAATCAAACATACATTTATATGTTTCAGGTAAACAGGCGCAGATGCAAAGGGAAACAAGAGTTGCCTCATTCCCTCCCCTCCCTCAAATGTTTTTAAAATATTTATATGTTTGATTTTTTTTATCAGCTAGAAAAAAGAAAAACAAAACAAAAGAGATATTAGATAACTAAATAATGTAACAAAGTTTGTTTGAGGACATTCATCCCATTGAAAGAAGAGAACATCAAGAGAAGATTTCATGTTTTGCTATTTAATCTATTGCAAAATTATCTTTACAAATAATATAATGAAAACTAATAGATGACCATGTTAGGTAAAGTGGTTAATTCTATTTTTCTATTATGAATCTATGTCGGATAAGTATGATATCAAATTTATATAAATACTTGTTCTACTGTATGAAAAAATTATTTTTTTATTCTTTTTTACTTTTTTTTCTCTCGTATTTTTCATATTTTACTTTCCCTTTTTCCTTTCTTTCAACACGTATGTGTGC